TTCCAGGGGCTGCTCTGGCACAGCTTGCTGCAATAGTGAACCCAGCAAACAAACCTACTAAAGTGAAATGGAGCCTCTCCTGGTCCAGGGCCTTGGGAAATTGTGGAAAAGCTGTTCTTTAATAAGGGTTTAATAAGGGATTGGTTCTTTTGGGAAAGGCTTGGAGTTTGAATTTGGCAATTGCCTTTGGAAAAGGCTTGCTTCCCTTCTGGGCTTCCAGGGGCTGCTCTGGCACAGCTTGCTGCAATAGTGAACCCAGCAAACAAACCTACTAAAGTGAAATGGAGCCTCTCCTGGTCCAGGGCCTTGGAAAATTGTGGAAAAGCTGTTCTTTAATAAGGGTTTAATAAGGGATTGGTTCTTTTGGGAAAGGCTTGGAGTTTGAATTTGGCAATGGCCTTTGGAAAAGGCTTGCTTCCCTTCTGGGCTTCCAGGGGCTGCTCTGGCACAGCTTGCTGCAATAGTGAACCCAGCAAACAAACCTACTAAAGTGAAATGGAGCCTCTCCTGGTCCAGGGCCTTGGAAAATTGTGGAAAAGCTGTTCTTTAATAAGGGTTTAATAAGGGATTGGTTCTTTTGGGAAAGGCTTGGAGTTTGAATTTGGCAATTTTGGAAAAGGCTTGCTTCCCTTCTGGGCTTCCAGGGGCTGCTCTGGCACAGCTTGCTGCAATAGTGAGCCCAGCAAGCAAACCTACTAAAGTGAAATGGAGCATCTCCTGGTCCAGGGCCTTGGAAAATTGTGGAAAAGCTGTTCTTTAATAAGGGTTTAATAAGGGATTGGTTCTTTTGGGAAAGGCTTGGAGTTTGAATTTGGCAATTTTGGAAACGGCTTGCTTCCCTTCTGGGCTTCCAGGGGCTGCTCTGGCACAGCTTGCTGCAATAGTGAACCCAGCAAACAAACCTACTAAAGTGAAATGGAGCCTCTCCTGGTCCAGGGCCTTGGAAAATTGTGGAAAAGCTGTTCTTTAATAAGGGTTTAATAAGGGATTGGTTCTTTTGGGAAAGGCTTGGGGTTTGAATTTGGCAATTGCCTTTGGAAAAGGCTTGCTTCCCTTCTGGGCTTCCAGGGGCTGCTCTGGCACAGCTTGCTGCAATAGTGAACCCAGCAAACAAACCTACTAAAGTGAAATGGAGCCTCTCCTGGTCCAGGGCCTTGGAAAATTGTGGAAAAGCTGTTCTTTAATAAGGGTTTAATAGGGGGTTGGTTCTTTTGGGGAAGGCTTGGGGTTTGAATTTGGCGATTTTGGCTGCTCTGGCACAGCCCTCTGCAATAGTGAACCCAGCAAACAAACCTACCTTGACTGAGCTACAGCGTTTTTGGGAAAAAATGCATCTCAGCAATTACAGTTTTTTTTGCAAAAAAAATGGCTCTCCCAATTTTGTTTTGCCACAAAAGCGAACCCTCCAAACAATACATGAGTTTCAGAATAAATTTGGAAAAAAATTGCCACAATAGCGACCCTAGGTACTAATCAGGACCCAACATTAGCATTGTTGTCAGGCTGAGTGCTGCAGTCGCTTTTCCAGCCGCTGATGGAAATGGTGACACGCAGCCGCCCTTGAGGCAATGTCAGCGAGACTGCCCAGACGCATGCGCCAAGGTTGCTCGAACTATCGAGATGGCCTGCGGCACTGGGAAGACCCGGGTGATCGAGGAGTTGGTGTCGAATGTTTCAGGGAGGGTGCTTTGGGCATTTTGATTCAGGTTTTGAATCATGTTTTTTTCCCCTTCTAGTTGGGCTATTGCCTTGATCACCTCTTATTTTCTTTTTTCCATCCCTGTTCTCCCACCAGCTCAACTCATGTAAGGAGGGACAAGAAAAAGAGAAGTCATCAGTGCCACAGCACTTCAGCACGAGGGAATTTCCTTATCATCACGAAAACTAGCTTTTGCTAGCTGAAGTCCTTCTTGATTTAACAACGTATTGGCAAGGGCTGGAAGCGCCAATCACACGAAACTTCACACTTAACTAACCACTCTCCCCCCCAACTGGTTTCTTGGAAACAGTTTTGCCGTGGCCTGGGGCATCGTCGCCATATGGCCGCAATCAGCATCATCATTATCATCATCAGCATCACAATCCTCTCCCGGTTCCTCACACGCACCTCTTTCAGCACACCTTGCTCCTCCTCCCTTTACCTTCCCAGTTAGCTTTCGTGGCTTACCCCTTGCCTCAAGTTCCCTATTATGTGAAAAAATAGAAGACCCGCGATGGCCCGTGGCAGACGGGAGCCAACAAATATACTGCCACTGGACTACTGGATTCATCTGGATTCAATTTACGAAAGGAGTATTCAAATAAGGTGAGCAACTATTTTTTTGTTATTGCTCACAGCCACTTCCTCTCCTTCAGTTTTAAGATGCTACTTACACCTGGTTGATGCGACTCTCTCTTAGGTCTTGATCACCGTTCCCTTGCGTGCCCTGCTGGAGCTGTTCGCTCCTAAATCGACTTCGATGCCAAGGGGTTCATGGCTGTGACGGATTCAGTCCACTTGCTGAAGAAGTTGAAATTTGATTCCATTTTTGTGGATGAAGCACACCACCTGTTTGCTGCCGATCAGGGGCGTCATCCATTGCCGCCCAAAATGCCAAGGTTGACTCAGTTGTACCGATTTTCCGCCACTCACAAGGATGAACCGGATTTCAGTTACACAACAGGGAGAAGGCAATCAAAGATCGGATTTTGCGCAACTGCGAGATCACGGTGCCAGCCTTGACTGCTCATCATGCACACATGTCTTTTGCAGACTTGCTTCTGAAACAAGTCGGGAGGTTCAGGCGAGTGCTTGCGTACTGCACTTTGGTTGCGGAAGCCACACTTTTTCGCATTCGCTTTATCGGCGATTTGCATGGTGAAAGGGTGCTGGCCAGATGGCTTAACAGGCAGCGCAATGCGTGCAAAAAAATGCGTTTGCCACCGTCACACAGATGACTGTCAGCAAACTCACCCCTGATTGGCCGGCGTGCTAAAGAATGGCAGACAGGTAACAGTGATGAGCATTTTGGGGAGAATTGCAAGCGGCTCAGAGTGCATGTGAAGCTGCACAAACGGTTGCCGGATGGGGCAGGAAAGGCCCAACACGGCGAAGACGCCAAGAGCTGCATCCCTGGGTCAAAGCCGAGCGTCAGAAGTGGGATGCAAGGCGACTGTATCGGACTCGCTGGGCGCCCCGGCTTGAGCTCTCCACGTTTATGTTGACAGCAGGGCACCTCCCAACGAGCTGTGGAGTTTCAATGAAAGATCTTGCTACCAGTGGCTTGGCATTCAGTGCAGGAGGCTTCTAGCAGGATACCTGCCGGATGAGACGATTCAGCGCTTCAGCATGCTCATCCAGTGCTCAGAGCATATGTCGATGCATTTTTTGAAAGACTCAGAGGTATGGTGGGAGCATTTGACAGTGTGCGAACATAGTTCGCGTCAAGCAGCACGTTCAGGGCAGGCTATTATATAGGTACATGATGATCCGACACATAATAGGAAAAGAAAGGGTGCGCTAGCCTCACTCTTTTGCGTTTTGCTCAGCATCTTTGAAGCCTTGTCAACCTCCACGATTTGAAGAGGTCTTCCAAACTTAGGTAGCCTGTTCTGCCATGTTCCAACAATATTGTTAAGACTACCCAGCCACATCATTCCATTGAGGCCCCGGCGCAGGTGCGTTTTTGATGTTATAGGGCGATTAGAGGCCAACCTCCAAATTTTTCCAAAGTCATCCTGTTGCCCTCCAAAGTCCCAGGGCATGTCATTGGGAGCAGATATTAAACAGATCTGTTGGGAGTGCCGATTTTTTTTCGCCGGCCCAGGCTGCCAGTGGGAGGTGGAGAGATTAGCCGGATGTCAGAGCCTCAGGGAACGTGCAGAGGTGGAGATGGCTACGTGGAGCCTGCACAAGCTTTCCATGTTGACCTTTGATAAGGCGTCTCACTGAAACTTTTAAGTTCTCAGAGAGTGAAATCCCAATGGAATCAAGAGGGCGAAGGTGGCAAATGGGGCCAGTGAACTGAAACCTAAAGAATCTCCAGTAACTTCTGTACAGTCCTGTTCAGGACCTTGCGTTGGTCAATATGGCTGAGAGAGGTCATGCAACGAACATCCAGTTTGTAACATGGACATTCTCTTCTTTTTCAAAATTGCACTCTTTCTCCAAGATTCTTGGCTCAAAGCTCGCGGCGGCTCATCAACCACCGCATTTCTTCGATAGGAATTGGGTTGAGCCTGCATGATTTGTGTAGACAATGAGAAAAGGCGGAAGACACCCAGCACATCTGGCATTGGCAGGGCTGCTTCTTGTCCCGGCTCTGCTGAGTCAAGCGTCGTCATTCATCAATCCGCCAAGATCCGCCAGAAGGACAGGTGGATTGGGATGATGAGGGTGGATGGGGGGCCTGCTGGCATCACATGTTGCTGCTGCAATGATCATTTGATGCGCCCTTCACGCTCCACTGATGACTCACTGATGGCTCTGGCTGAAGATGTTTCCACAGGACGCAGCTCAGAGCTTGGACAATGGCCATGAGAGCCGCGCCGAAGCACGCAGCTGGAACTCCAGCTGCAGTTGGGGTGAAGAATGACGAACAAGCACCGTTGATAGTTCCAGTAGTGAAGATCTGACCACCGGGAGGAGTGGCGGGCCTTGTCACAGCATTGCCTTTTGTGATTGAATTGGTTGACAGGTGCATGCTGTACAAAATTCCAGCGACAGTAGTCAATCCTGATGTGCTGGATGGACTTCAATCATGGTTTAACATGATTGACCTTCATGAAGCCTTCATCGATTCATCACCCTTATCGCCCCATTTGATTTCCATCATTTCTGCGGCCCTTTTCTACCCGATTTCCTCTTCTCAGTGAGCCCAGGCCTTGATGATCGTGACGCGGCCTTCATGGAGCGCCTACGAAACTTGGCGCACGAGGCGCTGACGTGGCCACATCTGGGGGAGAGGCAGCGGCTGGTCTGGGCGGCTGCGCTGGAGCTGCACGCCGTGCCCTTTCAGGAGCTGTTGGGCGATTCGCATGATGGTAGGCCTGGTAGATGATGGTTGGAGCGATGGCGTAAGTAGATCCCCTTTGCGAGTAATTAGTGGTGTCGTCGTCTATTCTTTCAGATTTGCAGTTCGTTGGCGTAGCTCCTGCCGGGATGGCAGGAGTTGCCTCCGTGGTTCTGGGAGCACCAGAACAGCACACGTCGACATTCAGGCCAGGCAAGGGTGGTGCTATACGTACGTGCTGTTGAAATTGAAGATGAACTCCCACCTGGCAGTGTGATCTTCGAGGTCCATTGTCAGAGATCAAATAGTTATAATTGAAGATGAACTCCCACAACTGCATTTTCTATTCGCGTCAGCCACACATGCAGAACGCGCTATCAATTGAAGACAGTTGTAGGCTGACGTTTGCCCTTTGTCGGAAGCTTTTTTTCTCTAGATTCCATCACTGACCCTGTGCCAACAGGCCTGGACTTGCTGAGTCTGGACGGTTCGCATGCCGTTGGCTGCTGGAACGCATCGGTTCCCTTCAAGGAGGTGAGGCGTTTTCTGCGCATGGCACGGTGGGTCTACAAGGCCAGGGAGATTGCACTGAAGGGGCGTGATGCTAAGTGAAGGGAAGAAATCACCAAGGACACAGGACACATCTGAAATTCTTTTTGATTATGTCAGCGAAGCCTTGACTTGAAACTTCTCACTCTGTTCATGCTGTGAAGAGCCACCACTAAGCCCGTTTTGATGTTCGTGTGCAGCCAGCTTTCTGCAGGCTCCACGATGCACAGTGGTGACCAGCAGTCGCCGGTTGCCCAAGAAGGTGAAAGCCTGGCTGCAGAACTCCGATGCTGAGCATCGGGTCATCACAAACCGTACCATGAAGAGGCTGAGATTGGGAGAAAAGAGCTGTATGGGGCTTGAATGCAGATCAGTGTTTGTGGGTGCAAATGATTTCTCCGCAATGAAATTCTCCGCAATGAAAAACCAAGGCGCCTGGGTAATACGCAGGTCTAGGTTTGGTGCAGCATTTTGGACCAACGGTAGCCTTTCCATTTATCCCTTGTCCTCCACGCATTCCCCACAGCACCGGCGCCAGGTTGAGTGCTGCAGCTCCTGCTGCGGTTGCTGAAAATGATGGCATGCAGCCACCCTTGAGGCAATGCCAGCGCGACTGCCTGGACGCATGCGCCAAGGGTGCTCGAGTCATCGAGATGGCTTGCGGCACTGGGAAGACGAGGGTGATCCAGGAGTTGGTGTCGAATGTATCCGGAAGGGTGCCCTTGGCCGTTGATTCAATTCCGTTTCGGGTATATAATACCAATACCGCCAATCCCTTGTCATTGCTTTTTTGGCATCTATCTATTTAATTTGTTTTGTTGATATGGTTGTTCTTCCCCATTGCTGGTCATGTTTCGTAATTGAGAGTCGGAGTCGCAGCTCTGCTGACAAACCGTCCTCAAACTAGTGAACGGGTCTCAAGGGGAACTCTCAGCGTGCATTCCGTGCCATTCTCAGGTTTTGGTCACGGTGCCTCTACGAGCCTTGCTGGACCAGTTCGCTCCCGACTTCCCCAGCTTCTGCAAAGTGGGCATGGGCCACAACAAGAAGATCCATTTCGATGCCCAGGGGTTCCTAGCTGTGACGGATTCGGTCCACTTGCTGAAGAAGTTGAAGTTTGATTCAATTTTTGTGGATGAAGCACACCATCCGTTGCCGTCTCAAATGCCGCAGTCAGCGGAGCTGTATCGACTTTCCGCCACTCACAAGGATGAGCCGGATTTCCGCTACACCATGGGACAGGCAATTGAAGATGGGGTCCTGTGCGACTACGACATCACTGTGCCTGCCTTGACTGCTCACCATGCGTACGTATGTTTGGCAGATCTGCTGCTGAAGCAGGCTGGACGTTTCAGGCGTGTGCTAGCATACTGCAATTCAATTGCTGAAGCGAAGCGCTTTCGGATGGTGTTGAGGAGGCTTGGACTTGCAGCATGGCATATCAATGGCAAGACACCGTTGAAAAAGAGGCAAACTGCGATTGCAGAGTTTGCAGGCGCCTTGCAGAAACCAGTTCATGTGCTTGTCACCGTTGAAGTCTTGGGAGAAGGGATCAACATTCCCAATGCGGACACCTGCATGTTTGTAGAGCCACGCAGTAGCTACAGGAGCATAATTCAAGCCATAGGACGGGTGCTGCGTCACCACCCTGCCAAGACTCTGGCACACATCGTCCTGCCAGCTGTGGCAATCCCAAGCTCAAGATCTGCGTCCGTGTCGCCATCAAGTTTCAGAAATAAACGTGAGGAGCAAGTGAATGCAAGGAAGGTTGACAGCCTCAATTGTCAAGGAAGTGAGTTGCCAAGTCTGCAGGTCGAACAGCAGGCGAGAAACCCACACACATTTGGTACGGCTGAAGATGAGGCGGCTACTAGACGGAAGTCACCTGCTGCGATCAACGTGGCTGCCCCTCCTGCAACCGCCAGGAGGCAGGGAGACACCTTTCGTTCAGCCATTCATTCAAACGGCCAGCAGGGTGAGAAAGTGCGCAGCGACCAGAATTTTGCCAAGACTTTGGCACACATTGTGCTACCAGCTGTGGCGATCCCGAATGCAAGACCAGTTTCCATGTCACCGTCGGATGGGGGAAAAAAAGCGATCGAGGGTGAAGAGCAACCGAATGCGAGGGAGGCCGGCAGCCTTCAAATACTTAAAATGCAAAGTCGGACTGCTCGGGAAAGTGACGATGAGCTGCCACCTTCGCAGCACATGCACGCGAGGCCTAAGTCACCAGCTGCCATCAGCATCGCAGGCACGCCTGCTGTGGTGAGAAGGAGGAAGGCAACCGGAGTTCATCCAGCAACTCCCACAAATGGTCGTCAGTGGAGAGATGATGTACGCAGCAACCCAGATGGGGGTTTTGAAGGAGGGAAGCTGGAGCGAAAGCCTCGTCACTGCGGCAAGCATGACGAACCTGAGCTGCAAGTCGGTCCAACAGCTCCTGTAGGTCGTCAGCAACACCGTGTGCAGCAAGAAGAGTTGCACAAAATTGGTGGATCTATAGGACACTCGCCAGCCGATCCAGCACTTCAAAAGGAACTTCAATATCAATACTTGGAACGATTCCAAGCCGACACTTCTGATCCCACTGCGCGTGAGAGGCCTGCCATAGTCAAATGTTTGTCGAGTGGTATTGATCAAGAGCCAACGCTTGATAAGAAAAGGGATGCAGTTCTATCAAGGCCACACCAGCGATTCAAATTGACAGCGCCCAGCAGCTCTCCTGTTTTCGATCAGCAGTTCAGTAGCCAACTGGACCGCTTTCTGGCCACACTGAGGATTGCAGATCATCGCCTGGTTGGTGCAACTGCAGGGCACAGAATCCAGGTAGCAGACTGCACGTTGGAGGATGCTGGCTTCAAGATGATCAAAAAAGCGTGGACGGCTGAGATTTACCATCGGCTCTCAGTGATTCTATCTGGGGATGACCGCTGGGAGATTCGCTTCAGAGAGTTGGACATGTTTGTCAACAAGCACGTTAGGCTCCCACTGCGTAAGGGCGATTCAAAGCTGGAAAGGAAATTGGGCACATGGCTCGACACCCAGGGCACCGCCTTTAGAAAGCAAAGACTGCCATGGCACAGGTTCCAGAAACTGCTATCGGCATCCTCACTTCTTATCCGTCGTCGCGCTGCAGGGTGGCAGACGGGTGACCCGGACAAGCGCTTTGAGGAGAGATGTCATCAGCTCGGAGAGTACTTGGAGCTGCACCACAAATTTCCAGACTATCAGGTCGGGTCCTCATCCTGGACACTGGCAAGATGGGTGGCTTGCGTTCGGGGAGGGCACGTTCGTCTAAGTCCCGACAAGATGAAGATGCTGCAAGAGGTACATCCTTTGGTCAAGGCTGAGGTACAGAAGTGGCAGGATGCCCCTCGACTCCTGTGGTCTCGATGGGAGCAGAAGTTTGGTCAGCTCTCCGGGTTTGTGTTGGCAACAGGCCGCCTCCCAAAAAGGCTTGCGGAAAGCAAGGCTGAAAGACACTGCTACGACTGGCTTCGTGCTCAATGCAGAAGGCTTGTCGCAGGATACCTACCTGATGAGATGACCCGGCGGCTTCAGGACGCTCATCCTCTGATTGCGGCATACATTGGCACCTCCTCTTAGGGATTGGGTCAGCAAGGATCTCAAGATGCTTAAGAATCAGTGTGAGCACAGGTGTGCAGCCTACATGGCAAGTGCTATGACGGCTATGAGGCGGCTGTGAGAAGCCCAGGGATAAAAAGTGAGCTTGCCAATGCGCATGCCGCTTGCCGTAGGAACTCCGTTCTTTGATTGCCTCCTGCTTCGAGTTCAGCAGCTAATCACGAAAGGTAGCGTCAGCTACCTGAGTTCTCCGTGCTTCAGCACAAGCTTAGGGGGTATTGGGGGGCCAGCCCGTGCAATTCATGGAATTCTCGCCGTTATGTATTGGATATCAATTATAAGGGGGCCCCCCCCCCCGAAAATGGTCATGGGTTCAATTCCCACGGGTGACGCGGTCACAGGCCCCCACATTAGAGGCACACTTTCCATGAGGGAGATGTCCCTGTAGTCCAGCATAATTGGTATGCTTCAGCCTCAATAACAGTTGCTGCAAGGGGTCTTAAAAAGGGGTTTTAAATAAACCCCTTTTCGTGCATCATTTCACGCAGCACAAGACACAGTGTCATGCAGTCATGCTCTGGATAAAATCATCTTAGACTGCGCAAAAACGTTTTTGGTGTATCATCTTAGGGGCGCAGCATTTTGACACCACTCCTCTCCCACTACACTACCTTTCGTCCGCCTCCGCCTGCTCTCAAGTTGACAGGAGAGTTCTGCAGTCTATTGCGTCATCTTCCATCAATACTCCTAAGACGATTGCCCAACAACATCATACCAGAGCGGCCCCAGCGCAGCTACTGCGCCTATAGTGTTTTTGATGTTTGAGCCAACCACGCGTCTTTCCAAAATCATCCTTTTTTTTTGTCCTCCAAAGTCGCAGTGTGAGCATGTCATTGGGAGCAGATAAACGTTCCGTTGGGATTGCATTTTTTTGCTGCAAGTTCAATGACCAATCAGTTTGTCACATTGACACGACGCCCCTCGTTCTACAACACTGCCTCCTGAGAGTCTTGGCTCAAAGCTCGCAGTGGCTGATCATCCATCGTACAAATCGATAGGAATTGGGTTGAGCCCGCATGATGGGTAGAAGATGAGAAGAAGGGGAAGACGCCCAGCGCATCTTCTGACATTGGCAGGTCTGCTTTGCGGCTGTGGGCTGCTGAGTCGAGCGTTGACATTTCCACCAAGATTTGCTGGAAGGACAGGGGGGCAGAGATGACCAGGGTGGATGGGGACATGCTATCATTGGCCGATGATGCGACGGAATGTCACGATTTTTTGACCCACTGTTGATGTGGCACTGACAACTCATCAGCCTCAGTGCGTGTTAGGACGCAGCTCAGAGCTTGGACTGTGGCCACGAGAGCCACGCCGAAGCATGCAGCTGGAACTCCAGCTGCACTTGGGGTGAAACATGACGAACAAGCACCATTGATAGTTCCGGTAGTAGTGAAGGGAGTAACATCTTCCAACAGAATGGGGTGTTGACACAATGTTGTCCAAGCTCTCAGGCATGCCTCTCTTATCCAGTTGGGTCATGTTCGTGGTCTCACTTGCATTTAAATGAAACATGTACTTTTCTTTTTTCCTTATCTTATGCGCACTGTATCCTGTAGATTCATTTGTAGTTTCAGGCAGCATACGACACCCATTCTCCATAAACTCAGGCCTTGACGAGCGCGACGCCGCCTTCATGCAGCGCCTGCGGAACTTGGCTCAGGAGGCGCTGACGTGGCCACATCTGGGGGAGAGGCAGCGGCTGGTGTGGGCGGCTGCGCTGGAGCTGCACGCTGTGCCCTTCCAGGAGCTGTTGGATCAGCTATGGTGTCGTGATGGAGGGATGGAAGCTGTAGACAGCCAAGGCGTTGATAATCTGAATCGACGTGTTCCGAAATACAGAGTGTTCTGATATCAATTTTTTCGCCTGAAGGAGCTGCCTCCATGGTTCTGGGAAGGCCAGAACATCACGCGGCGACATCCAGGCACCAGATTGGAAATTTCAGTGGCAATGTTTGGTTTGTTTGTTTCATTGTTTACTGCAACAGTTTAACAGTCTAACCCCACTTTCTCCGCTGACTCCTCCCCAGCTTCGACACGGGAGCTACGAGACTATCCAAAATTTCGTAGACTCGGTACCTGTAGGCTTGGTTTTCTCCCACCTTTCTTTTCTGCTCAAACAGGATTTTTCTCCGTTGACTCCTCTGCTTGGAGATATTCTCTTTTCTTGACTGAAGCCTTTTACTTCCATAATGTCTTCATTTGCCCGATAGGCCTGGACTTGCTGACTTTGGATGGTTCCCATGCCGTTGGCTGCTGGAACGCATCGGTTTCCTTCAAGGAGGTGAGGCGCTTCCTGCGCATGGCACGGTGGGTCTACAAGGCCAGAGAGATTGGGTGAGCACTGGGAGGGCTGTGATGCCAAGTAGAGGGAGCAAAATTCACAAAGGCCTTTCGTGAGTAGTTCTGTAGGACTTTATGTTTGACTTGTACTTTGGGGTGAATGTGGAGTGTCATTTGAAGTTCATCCTCATGTTCCTGTTTACAATGGCACTTGCGTGGTGACGTCTTGGTGACGTCTTTGTCCTGCCAACCCACGCAGGCCCCGATTTGCACTGTGGTGACCAGCAGCAGCCGGTTGCCCGCGAAGGTCACAGCCTGGCTGCGGAACTCCAACGCCGTGCATCGCGTCATCACAAACCGGACGATGAAGAGGCTGGGATCGCAAGAAACCTGAAATAGTTCCTTTCCTGATAGGAAGTCGTGTCCAGAATGAAGTGCTGGAAATGGAGGGATGATGGATGATGGATTGTCACTGCATGAGACATTGGCAACCAGACGTGCCACAGCGCCTTTTTTGACACCCCTCCACGCATTTTCTGCCTTTGCATCTTGCCAGGCTGAGTGCCGGACTTTCTTCTCCAGCTGCTGATGGAACTGGTGGCGTGCCGCTCTTGAGGCAATGCCAGCGCGACTGCCTGGACGCATGCGCCAAGGGTGCTCGAGTCATCGAGATGGCCTGTGGCACCGGGAAGACGAGGGTGATCCAGGAGTTGGTGTCGAATGTGTCTGGAAGAGTGCCGTGGGGATTTGATTCAGGCTTTGACTATCTTTTTCCCTTCTAGTTCACTTTTGGCTTGAATCACCACCCATGTTTATCCTCCAGCGTGCTTCACCAGTTCAACCCACCCAGGATCACCGCTAGAATAGGAAGTCTTGAGCGCGGCATCAATGAAACAAAGTGTTGCAGGCTATTTCACATCATGCAAACAAATACAAGACCTGTGGCAGACTGAAGAAGAAGGGGAAGAAGAAGAAGAAGAAGAAGACGAATAAGAAGAAGAAGAAGAAGAAGAAGAAAAAGAAGAAGCAGCAACATGTGTTACGGCTCGATTCAAAACATGCACTCAACGTACGCACATTAATTTACGAAGAGTAGATAAACAAGCACGCCAAAAGCTTCATTGCTATTATTCTTGTACCTTTGCCACAAATCCCTCATCTTGGTCTTGCCTTACTCCCAATCATGGTACGATGCTGCACCTTCTGTTTTGGCTCTCCCTCAGGTCTTGATCACTGTCCCGTTGATTGCTTTGCTGGACCAGTTTGCTCCCGACTTCCCCGGCTTCTGCAAAGTGGGCACAGGCCACAACAAGAAAATCAACTTTGATGCCAAAGGTTTCATTGCTGTCACGGATTCGGTCCACTTGCTGAAGAAGTTGAACTTCGATGCCATCTTTGTGGATGAGGCGCATCATCCGTTGCCGTCCGGGATGCCACGGTCGACCGAGTTGTATCGGTTGTCGGCCACTCACAAGGATGAACCGGATTTCCAGTACACCATGGGACAGGCGATTGAAGACGGGGTCCTGTGCGATTACGACATCACTGTGCCTGCCCTGACGACGCACCATGCATACGTGTGTTTGGCAGATTTGCTTCTGAAACAGGCTGGACGTTTCAGGCGAGTGCTTGCGTATTGCAACTCAATTGCTGAGGCCAAACGTTTTCTCATGGTGTTGAGGGAGCTGGGACTGGCAGCATGGCATATCAATGGCAAGACACCTTTGAAAAAAAGGCAAACTGCGATTGCAGAGTTTGCCGGGACCCTGCAAAAACCGGTTCACGTGCTTGTGACTGTGGAAGTTTTGGGAGAAGGGATCAACATTCCCAATGCGGACACCTGCATGTTTGTGGAGCCGCGAAATAGCTACAAGAGCATCATTCAAGCCATCGGGCGCGTGTTGCGCCACCACCCTGCCAAGACCCTTGCACATATCGTCCTGCCAGCTGTGGCGATCCCGAGCTCTAGATCAGCCTCCATATCAGAGGGATGGAGTCTCAGGAGCAAGTGAATGCAAGGGATAATGGAAGGGTTTACAATTACAAATCTCGAATGCACGTTCGAACTCCCTGGGACAGTGACAGTGAGCTTCCAACTTCGCCACATGTTGAACAGCGCCAGCGTCAGACATGTAGCACAGCCCAAAATGAGGTGGCTTGTAGACCACAGGAACCTGCCGCAATCAGTTTGGCTACCCCAGCTGCTGCAGTCACCAGACATGCACGAAAGAGTTGTGGACCTATGGAACGCTTGCGCACACGCGAGCTGACCCAGAGACCTCAAGAAGATGTTCGAAATCAATGCTTGGCACAATCCAATCCCGCCTCGCATGATCCAACTACACCTGGCAGGCGTAGGATAGTTGGATTTTTGCGAAGTGAGTTGGATGAACGGCCAAACATCCAGAAGACCCAGACCAAGATCAGCTCAAAGCGATACCGAAAATTCAAGTTAAAAGCGTCCTGGGGATCTCCCGTGTTGGGTCATCATTTCAGCACCCAACTCGAACGCTTCCTGGCCACGCTGATGATGGCAGATCATCGCATAGTGGGTTCAAATGCAGCATCCAGGATCCAGATAGCAGATTGCACCTTGCCTGGAAGTGGCCCCAGCAACATGCAAGGATGGACAACTGTGGTTTACAGCCAGCTCTCACTGGTTCTGTCTTGCAGGGATCAGTGGGAGAGACGCTTCAGAAGCTTGGAAGTGTTTATCGACGAGCATGGGAGGCTCCCACGGCGTTTGTCCGAAGATAGTGTTGAAAAGACTCAGGCCTCCTGGCTCAACACCCAGGCAATCGCTTTTAGAAATCAGATGTTGCCTTTGCATAGGTTCCACAGACTGCTGTCGGCATCGTCACCTTTGATTCGCCGTCGTGCTGAAGGTTGGCAAACTGGCGACACCGATGGACATTTCAAGGATAAATGCGATCTTCTCAGGGAGTACGTGCAGTTGCACCAAAAGTTACCGCAGAACACAGGTGATGGGGTTGAACCCCCATTCCGGAAACTGGCAAACTGGCTGACTCGAGTGCGAGGAGGGAACACGCTCTTAAATCTTGAAAAGATGAAGATGCTGCAAGAGGTGCATCCCTTGGTCAAAGCTGAGCTCCAGAAATGGCAGGATGCCCCACGACTCCAGCAGTCAAAGTGGGAGCGGAATTTTGGTCAGCTCTCCGGGTTTGTGTTGGCAACAGGGCGCCTCCCAAAAAGCCATGCGGAAAGCAAGGCTGAAAGGCACTGTTACGACTGGCTTTGTTCTCAATGCAGAAAGCTTATAGCAGGATATCTGCCTGATGAGATGATCTGGCGGCTTCCGAATGCTCATCCTTTGATTGCGAAATATATGGATGAAAAGTGAACTTGCCACGCGCATGACGCTTTCCGTACGAATTCTGTTCTTGTCTTGCCATATTGCCCCTGCTTCGGTAAAAGCACTAGGTGAACTAAGCGAACTCCACGAAGTAATAGGAGAGTTCTGCAGCCCATTCCGTCATCTTCCATCCATACATTTTTTTGATGTTTGATGCAAACCCTTTCCGAACCCATCTTTTTTCTAGCGCTTAGGCCACTAGTTGGAGGTGGAGAGACCAGCCGGATGCCAGAGCCTCAGCTGAGAGGTGGAAATGTTTGCTCTATTTTTCCAATTGATCAGTGTTTTCAAGTAGTGACAGGACAGCGTCGGACCACCGCACCAACAAGTACAGTAGTGATGATCAGTGAAATGTCAAATTCTGAACATGTCATGGGGGCAGTGCATTGGCACCCAAAAGGCCAAGAGTTCTCATTTCTTTGGAGTACTTTGATCAACGTGTCCAGGTCCTGCAGCTATAACTTCATTGACCAACCGGTTTGTCACATGATACGACCTCCCCTCGGTCTACAACGCTGCCTCCTTAAAGTCTTGGCTCAGAGCTCGCAGTGGCTGATCATCCACTGTACCCCTTCGATGGGAATTCGGTTGAGCCCGCATGGGTAGAAGATGAGAAGAAGCGGAAGACGCCGAGCGCATCTTCTGGCACTGCTCTGGCTGCTTTGCCTACCTGCTCTGCTGAGTCGAGCGTTGCCATTCATCACTCCGCCAAGATTTGCTGGAAGGACAGGGGTTCCAGGGATGACCAGGGTGGGTAGGGACAAGTCCTCATTGGCCATTTGGGCGGATGATGCAAAAGCATGCCATGATCTTTTGACCCACTTTTGATGTTGCACTGACGACCCATCAGCCTCAGATCTTGTTAGGACGCAGCTCAGAGCTTAGACCATGGGCATGAGAGCCACACCGAAGCATGCAGCTGGAACTCCAGCTGCACTTGTGAAGTATGACGAACAAGCACCATTGATAGTTCCGGTAGTAGTGAAGGGAGCCGGACCACTTTCAACATCTCCAACAGAATGGGGCGTTGACACAGTGTTGTCCTACGTCCTATCTCTCAGGCATGCCTTTCTTATCCATTTGGGTCATGTCCGTGGTCTCACTTGCAATTAAAAAGGTCTCCAGCCGTGAAATGACAACAGGTCATGCACCTGTTTCAATTTTTTGAACATGTACTTTTCTTTTTTCCTTATCTTATGCGCACTGTATCCTGTAGATTCATTTGTAGTTTCAGGCAGCATCCATACGACACCCATTCTCCATAAACTCAGGCCTTGACGAGCGCGACACGGCCTTCATGCAGCGCCTGCGGAACTTGGCCCAGGAGGGGCTGATGTGGCCACATCTGGGGGAGAGGCAGCGGCTGCTGTGGGCGGCTGCGCTGGAGCTGCACGCTGTGCCCTTCCAGGAGCTGTTGGATCAGCTATGGTGTCGTGATGGAGGGATGGAAGCTGTAGACAACCAAGGCGTTGATAATCTGAATCGACGTGTTCTGGAATACATAGTGTTCTGATATCATGTTTTTCGCCTGAAGGAGCTGCCTCCATGGTTCTGGGAAGGCCAGAACATCACGCGGCGACATCCAGGCACCAGATTGGAAATTTCAGTGGCAATGTTTGGTTTGTCTGTTTCACTTTGGTCATTGTTTATGGTAACAGTTTAACAGTCTAACCGTTACTAACCCAACTTTCTCCGCTGACTCCTCCCCAGCTTCGACACGGGAGCTTCGAGACTATCCAAAATTTCGTAGACTCGGTACCTGTAGGCTTGTTTTTCTCCCACCTTTCTTTTCTGCTCAAACAGGATTTTTCTCCGTTGACTCCTCTGCTTGGAGATATTCTCTTTTCTTGACTGAACCCTTTTACTTCCATAATGTTTTCATTTGCCCGATAGGCCTGGACTTGCTGACTTTGGATGGTTCCCATGCTGTCTGCTGTTGGAACGCATCGGTTTCCTTCAAGGAGGTGAGGCGCTTCCTGCGCATGGCACGGTGGGTCTACAAGGCCAGAGAGATTGGGTGAGCACTGGGAGGGCGGTGATGCCAAGTAGAGGGAACAAAGTTCACAAAGGCCTTTCGCGAGTAGTTCTGTAGGACTTTATGTTTGACTTGTACTTTGGGGTGAATGTGGAGTTTCATTTGAAGTTCATCCTCATGTTCCTGTTTACAATGGCACTTGCGTGGTGACGTCTTGGTGACGTCTTTGTCCTGCCAACCCACGCAGGCCCCGATTTGCACTGTGGTGACCAGCAGCAGCCGGTTGCCCGCGAAGGTCACAGCCTGGCTGCGGAACTCCAACGCCGTGCATCGCGTCATCACAAACCGGACGATGAAGAGGCTGGGATCGCAAGAAACCTGAAATAGTTCCTGTCCTGATAGGAAGTCGTGTCCAGAATGAAATGCTGGAAATGGAGGGATGATGGATGATGGATTGTCACCGCATGAGACATTGGCAACCAGACGTGCCACAGCGCCGTTCTTGACACCCCTCCACGCATTTTCTGCCTTTGCATCTTGCCAGGCTGAGTGCCGGACTTCCTTCTCCAGCTGCTGATGGAACTGGTGGCGTCCCGCCCTTGAGACAATGCCAGCGAGACTGCCTGGACGCATGCGCCAAGGGTGCTCGAGTCCTGGAGATGGCCTGTGGCACCGGGAAGACCCGGGTGATCCAGGAGTTGGTGTCCAACGTATCCGGAAGAGTGCTTTGGATTTTTTTGGACATTTTTGATGCAGGTTTTGAATCAGCAATCATTTTCGAGTTCCCATCCCGATCCAACACCTTCAAACTTATACGCCTCGCCGACCAACTCATCCAGAATAATATTGAATAATCGCATACAATGAGATGCGAAGGGAGAAATTCTGGTGGCAAGGGGAAACAAGGGGAAGCAACACATGTATTTGCAACTGGATTCAACACATCGATTCTGCATTATTTTGCCAAAAGTGTATGCTAGATACATAAATAAGTACCCCCACTTGTTTTCCCTGCCATTCCCGTACTTTTCCCAATCTCGGCTCTCTCTCAGGTCTTGATCACGGTGCCGCTGCTTGCCCTTCTGGATCAGTTAGGTGCTGATTTCCCTGGCTTCTGCAAAGTGGGCACTGGCCACAACAAGAAGATCGACTTTGATGCCAAGGGGTTCCTAGCTGTCACGGATTCGGTGCACTTGCTGAAGAAGTTGAATTTTGACTCCATTTTTGTGGATGAGGCGCATCATCCGTTGCCGTTCAAAATGCCAAGGTCGACCGAGTTGTACCGGTTGTCAGCCACTCACAAGGATGAACCGGATTTCCGATACACCATGGGACAGGCGATTGAAGACGGGGTCTTGTGCGATTACGACATCACGGTGCCTGCCTTGACTGCTCACCATGCATACGTTTGTTTGGGAGATTTGCTCTTGAAACAAGTTGGGAGGTTCAGGCGGGTGCTGGCCTATTGCAATTCGGTTGCTGAAGCGAAACGCTTCCGGATGGTGTTGAGGGAGCTGGGACTGGCAGCATGGCATATCAATGGCAAGACGCTCTCCAATAAACGACAAGCTGTCATTGCAGACTTCGCAGGGCCCTTGCAAAAACCAGTTCACGTGCTGGTCACTGTTGAAGTTTTGGGAGAAGGGATCAACATTCCCAATGCGGACACCTGCATGTTTGTGGAGCCACGGAATAGCTACAGGAGCATCATTCAAGCCATCGGGCGGGTGCTGCGTTACCACCCTGCCAAGACTCTAGCGCACATCGTCCTGCCAGCTGTGGCGATCCCGAGCTCAAGGTTAGCGTCCGTGTCACCGTCAAGTTTCAGAAAAAAATCGAATGAAGGTGAGGAACAACTGAATGCAAGGGAGGTTGACAGTTTCAAATGTCAAGGAAGTGAGCTGCCAAGTTGGGAGGTCGAACAGCAGGTGAGAAACCCAGACACATTTGGTACGGCTGAAGATGAGGTGGTTTTCGAACCACAGTCAGCTGCCCCTCCTGCAACCACCAGGAGGCAGGGGGACGCATTTCATTCAGCCATTCATTCAAACGGCCAGCAGGGTGAGAAAGTGCGCAGCAACCACGGAAAATTTGACATAAACCGGCTGAAGCGAAAGTTAGGCAACAGCAACTACGCCAAACCTGAGACTCGAGTCAGTCCATCAGCTATGACAGATCGTCAGCAAGACCGTGTGCAGCAAGAGCATCGGCAAACGAAGTGTAGATCTATGAAAAATGTGCACAGGCACCGGCTGACCCAGACACCTTATGAAGAAGTTCAAGATCAATACTTGGAAAAACACAAGCCGGGCACGTGTGATCCAACCGCACCTGGCAGGCCAGGAGTGTTTGAAAAATTTGGAAGTGGTATTTATGACCAAGAGCCAACCATGCAGACCCAGGCCACGGTGCCCACAATTCGACACCAAGGATTCAGATTGAAAGCTTCCACCGGATCTTCTGAGTTCGACCAGCATTTCGGTAGCCAACTGGAGCGCTTCTTGGCCACGCTGATGTGGGCAGATCATCGCATTGTCGGTGCAACCGCAGGGCACAGGATTCAGGTGGCAGACTGCACCCTCGCGGATGCTGGTGCAAGCATGATCGAAGGGTGCACGACTGAGATTTACAATCGGCTCTTTGCGATTCTATCTTGGGAGGACCATTGGGAGATTCGCTTCAGAGAGTTGGAAGGGTTTGTCGACCAGCATGGCAGGTTACCACTTCGCAAGTGCGAGTCTCACTCTGAAAGAGTATTGGGCAGATGGCTCCACAACCAGAACGTTGCTTTCAGAAAGCAAAAGCTACCATTGCATAGTTTTCAGAAACTTCTATCGGCGTCCTCTCCTCTTATCCGCCGCCGTGTTGAAGGGTGGCAGATGGGTGCCGACGGGCTTTTCATGCAGAGATGCTATGAGCTCGGAGAGTATGTGCAGCTGCACCACAAGGTGCCAGACTTGGCAAATCATCGGGTTGGGTCCTCACCCTGGAACCTGGCAAAATGGTTGGCGAATTTGCGGGCAGGGAACATCAGACTAAGCGCTGGCAGGATGAATATGCTGCAAAAGGTGCATCCCTTGGTCAAAGCAGAGCTACAGAAGTGGCAGAATGCCCCGCGACTCCAGCAGTCTAAGTGGGAGTGGAAGTTTGGTCAGCTCTCCCGGTTCGTTTTGGCAACGGGGCGCCTCCCAAAAAGTGGGGGAAAAAGCAAGGCGGAAAGCGGTTGGTATAGCTGGCTTCGTGCTCAGTGCCGGAAGATCCTAGCAGGATGCCTGCCAGCTGACATGGTCCAGCAGCTTCGGAATGCTCATCCCGTGATTGCTGCGTATGTTGATACATCTGCTTAGAGACTGAAAAGATGGCGCACAATGCAACACGCGAAAGAAGGGCTATAGTGGAGTAAGGTATGCCAAGTGACCTTGACACCACTGGCTGCTGCAGTCATTCTGTTTGTTCTCTTGTTGTATCCAATTTGCAGTTGAAAGCATGGGGTGAATAGATGGAAAAGTTTAGCGGTGCCAGCTTGTTCTGCCATGTTCGAACCATATTGTTAAGAGTTAAGAGTTCACACTACGCAACAAAATCGTTCCATTGAGGCCCCAGCGCAGGTGCGCGCCTAGTGTTTTTGATGTTATAGGCCATTATTCCATTATAGGCCAACTTCCAATTCTTTCCAAAGTCATCCTTTTGCCCTCCAAAGTCCCAGGGCATGTCATTGGGAGCAGATATTAAACAGATCTGTTGGCAGTGCCGACTTTTTTTCGCCGGCCCAGGCTGCCAGTGGGAGGTGGAGAGATTGGCCGGATGTCAGAGCCTCAGGGAACGTGCAGAGGTGGAGATGGCTATGTGGATCCCGCACCAGCTTTCCATGTTGACCGTTGCTAGTGATATCAGTGAAACTCTTATGTTCTCAGAGGGTGAAATTCCAATGGTATCATGAGAGCGGTGGTGGCAAATGGGGCCAGTGAACTGAAGCCTAAAGAATCTCCAGTAACTTCAGTACAGTCCTGTTCAGGACCTTGCGTTGGTCACAATGGCTGAGAGAGGTCATGCAGCTTCAGTTCGATGAATGTGCAGTTTGTAACATGGACATCCGCTTCTTTTTCAAAATCGCACTCTTTCTCCAAGATTCTTGGCTCAAAGCTCGCGGCGGCTCATCAACCACCGCATTTCTTCGATAGGAATTGGGTTGAGCCTGCATGATTTGTGTAGACAATGAGAAAAGGCGGAAGACACCCAGCACATCTGGTATTTGCAGGGCTGCTTCTTGTCCCTGCGCTGCTGAGTCAAGCGTCATCATTCATCAATCTGCCGAGATCGGCCAGAAGGACAGGTGGATTGGGATGAGGGTGGATTGGGGATGTGCTAGCATCACATTTTGATGTAATGATCATTTGATGCATCTATCCTTCGTGCTCCACTGATGACTCACTGATGGATCTGACTGAACATGTTTCCAGGACGCAGCTCAGAGCTTGGACAATGGGCATGAGAGCCGCGCCGAAGCATGCAGCTGGAACTCCAGCTGCATTTGGGGAGATTGATGACCAACAAGCACCGTTGATAGTTCGTTGATAGTTCCAGTGGTGAAGATCTGACCACCGGGAAGAGTGTCGGGCCTTGCCACAGCGTTGCCTTTTGTGATTGAATTGATTTGAATTGGTTGACGGGTGCATGCTGTACAACATTCCAGCGACAGTAGTTGATCCTGATTTGCTGGATGGACTTCATTCAAGTTTTCACATGATGGACCTTCATCACCCTTACCGCCCCATTTGATTTCCATTATGTCTGCGGACCTTTTCTACCCGATTTCCTCTTCTCAGTGAGCCCAGGCCTTGATGATCGTGACGCGGCCTTCATGCAGCGCCTGCGGAACTTGGCGCACGAGGCGCTGACGTGGTCACATCTCGGGGAGAAGCAGCGGCTGGTGTGGGCGGCTGCGCTGGAGCTGGAAGCCGTGCCCTTTCAGGAGCTGTTGGGCGATTCGCATGATGGTAGGCCTGGTAGATGATGGTTGGAGCGATGGCTTAAGTAGATCCCCTTTGCGACCAGTGGTGTTGTCTAATTATTCTTCCGGATGTGCAGTTCATAGGTGTAGCTACAGCTGGGATGGCAGGAGCTGCCTCCGTGGTTCTGGGAGCGCCAGAACAGCACACGTCAGCATTCAGGCTAGGCAAGAGTGGCGCGAGTACCTGTTCAAATAGACAATAGAAGATGAACTCCCACAACCGCATTTTCTATTCGCGTCAGCCACGCTCTCACATGCAGAACGCTCTATCAATTACAGTTGTAGGCTGATGTTTGCCCTTTGTCGGATGCTTTTTGTTTGTTTGGACGCTGTCCACATTTCGTACCGAGCCAACAGGCCTGGACTTGCTGACTTTGGATGGTTCTCATGCTGTCCGATGCTGGAACGCATCGGTTTCCTTCAAGGAAGCGAGGCGCTTCCTGCGCATGGCACGGTGGGTCTACAAGGCCATTGAGATTGCACTGAAGGGGCGTGATGCTAAGTAAAGGGAAGAAATCACCAAGGACACATCTGAAATTCTTTTTGATTATGTCAGCGAAGCCTTGGCTTGAAACTTCTCACTCTGTTCATACGGTGAAGAGCCACCACTAAGCCCGTTTTGATGTTCGTGTTCAGCCAACTTTCTGCAGGCTCCAAGATGCACAGTGGTGACCAGCAGTCGCCGGTTGCCCAAGAAGGTGAAAGCCTGGCTGCAGAACTCCGACGCTGAGCATTGGGTCATCACAAACCGTACCATGAAGAGGCTGAGATCGGGAAGGAAAAACTGCAGACTCGAATGCGGATCAGTTTTGAACAATTTGCTGAGTGCAGATGGTTTCTCCTGGATGGAAAGCTGGGTGACACGCAGGTCTAGGTTGAGCGGTAGCCTTTCAATCTATCCACGCATTCTCCAAAGCACCGGCGTCAGGTTGAGTGCTGCAGCTCCTTCTCCCGTTGCTGAAAATGGCATGCAGCCGCCCTTGAGACAATGTCAGCGCGACTGCCTGGACGCTTGCGCCAAGGGTGCTCGAATCATCGAGATGGCCTGCGGCACTGGGAAGACCCGGGTGATCCAGGAGTTGGCGTCGGATGTGTCAGGAAGGGTGCCTGTGGCCGTTGATTCAATTCAGTTTCGGTTAGTTAATACCAATACCTTGTCACTGTTGTCTTTTTGGCCTCTATCTAAATCCGTTTTGTTGATATGGTTGTTCTTTGCCATTCCTGGTCGTGTTTCGCAATTGCAAGTCGGATTCCCGGACGATCATTTTCTTTGCTGACAAACCGTCCTGAAACTAGCGAACGAGTCTCAAGAGCAACTCTCAGGGTGCCGTTCCGTGCCATTCTCAGGTTTTGGTCACGGTGCCTCTACGAGCCTTGCTGGACCAGTTTGCTTCAGACTTCCGCGGCTTCTGCAAAGTGGGCACTGGCCACAACAAGAAGATCGACTTCAATGCCAAAGGTTTCATTGCTGTCACGGATTCGGTCCACTTGCTGAAGAAGTTGAAGTTTCACTCCATTTTTGTGGACGAGGGGCATCATCCGTTGCCGTCCAAAATGCCACGGTCGACCGAGTTGTATCGGTTGTCAGCCACTCACAAGGACGAGCCGGATTTCCGATACACCATGGGACAGGCGATCGAAGATGGGGTCTTGTGCGATTACGATATCACAGTGCCTGCCTTGACTGCTCACCACGCATACGTGTGTTTGGCAGATTTGCTTCTGAAACAAGTTGGGAGGTTCAGGCGAGTGCTCGCGTATTGCAACTCTGTTGCTGAAGCGAAACGCTTCCGGATGGTGTTGAGGGAGCTGGGGCTGGCAGCATGGCATATCAATGCCAGGACACATTTAAAGAAACGAGAAACTGTGATTGACGAGTTTGCCGGGCCCCTGCAGAAACCAGTTCACGTGCTGGTCACTGTTGAAGTTTTGGGAGAAGGGATCAACATTCCCAATGCGGACACCTGCATGTTTGTGGAACCCCGAAATAGCTACAGGAGCATCATTCAAGCTATTGGGCGTGTGCTGCGCCATCACCCTGCCAAGACTCTGGCACACATCGTCCTGCCAGCTGTGGCAATCCCAAGCTCAAGATCTGCGTCCATACCACAGACTGGTTCCAGGAATAAAGAGATCAAAGGTGAGGAGCAACCAAATGCGAGGGAGGCCGAGACTCTTCAAATCCCCAACCCTCAAATGCACAGCCCGAATCTGCGGAAAAACGGCGGTGAGCTGCCACCTGCAACTATGCAGGTTGAACCACGCCGGCAGATCCGGCAGGCAAGAACCCCACAAACATCTGGTATTGGTAAGGAGCAGATGGCTTCCACCCCTAAGTCACCAGCTGCCATCAGCATCGCTGGCACGCGTGCTGCAGTGAAAAGGAAGGCGTCCGCAGTTCATCCAGCACCTCCCACGAATGGTCAGCGAAGAGATGAAGTATGCAGTGAACCAGACTGGGAATTTGAAGCAAAGGGGCTGGAGCGAAAGCCTCGTCACTGCGGCAACGAACCTGAGCGGCAAGTCGGCCCAACAGCTCTAGTTGATCGTCAGCAGCACAGTAAGCAGCAAGAAGAGTTGCACAAGACTGGTGGATCTATAGGACGCTTGCATGGGCACCAGTCGATCCAGACACTTGAAAAACAACTTCAAAATCAATACTTGGAACGATCCAAAGCCAGCACTTCTGATCCAACTTTGCCTGACAGGCCTGCCACAGTCAAATGTTTGTTGAGTTTTGATCAAGAACGAACACTTGTGAGGAAAGGGGATGCGGTTCTTTCGAGGTCCCACCAACGATTCAAATTGAAAGCATCTGGCGATCAGCAGTTCAGTAGCCAACTGGAACGCTTTCTGGCCACGCTGATGATCGCAGATCATCGCCTCGTTGGTGCAACGGCAGGGCACAGAATCCAGGTAGCAGACTGCACGCTGGAGGATGCTGGTGCAAGCATGACGGAAGGGTGGGCGGCAGAGATCTACAGTTGGCTCTCTGCTGTTCTATCTCGTGAGGACCACTGGGAGACTCGCTTGAAGGAAGTGGAGATTTGCAAACAGAAATGGGAGGCTCCCAATTCGCCACTCCGATTCTCACTCTGAAAGGACATTGGCCATATGGCTGGACAGCCAGGGCAGCGCCTTTAGACAGCAAAGATTGCCGTTGCACAGGCTTCAGCAACTGTTGTCGGCATCCTCACCTCTGATTCGTAGGCGTGCTGAAGGGTGGCAAACTGGCGACCCTGATGGGCGTTTCAGTGAGAGATGCCAGGAGCTCAGAGCATACGTGCAGCTACACAAAAGATTGCCAGAAAAGACACGCCATCAAATCACATCGTCGTCCTGGAAGCTGGCGCGGTGGGTGGAGCATGTAAGGAGAGGGACCATTACACTAAGTCCGAACAAGCGAAAGATGCTACAAGAAACGCATCCCTTGGTCAAAGCCGCACTCCAGAAGTGGAAGGACGGTCCCAGAATCTATCGGTCTCGATGGGAACAGAAGTTCAATGAGTTGTCCATGTTTGTGACGGCAGTGGGGCGCCTCCCAAAATACGGAGGAGGGGCCCTTGAAACAAGCTACTACCAGTGGCTTTGTGTTCAGTGTAGGAGGGTCTTAGCAGCATATTTGCCGGATGAGATGACCCAGCGGCTTCGGAATGCCCATCCTTTGATTGCAGCACATATTGAGACATTTGTCCAAGAGAGACGTGGCAAATGAAAAGATGCTTAGAGCCACGTGCGAGCAGTGTGTGCTGCAGGGATTAGACAAGGGTCAGGGCTGAGAAGTTGGTGACACAAGCATGCTCCTTTTCCATGGCAATTCTGTCCTTTTACATTCTGCGCGCAATTTTGGGATGCTGGTACATCATGGTATATATATATATTGTATATATCCATGAGAATGCTGGAGTTTAGGGCAAGCAGCCAATCCCAAGACTATCCAGCAACATCCTTCCAGAGAGGCCCCGGTGATGGTCGACACCAACTTCTCATCCCTACAACTTCATCCTCTTTCTCCGGCTTCCATCTAGGGCCACATCTAGAACCCACCTGACATGACAGTCGGTGTCCGCGGTGTCCGTTCTTTAACCCTCCGAGGCCGCCGGTTGGAGGCGGAGACATCAGTCGGATGCCGGAGCCTGAGCAACGTGCAGAGGTGGAGATGGCTGGGTGGATTTGGCAAGTCGGACAGGCAAACCGTAGTGGACCACCGACTACATGCTGTAGTGATTAGAAGTTGAACTCGCAAGCGTCACATGAAATTGCATCGTGTCATTAGAAGTTGCTGCTATTTCCAAATGTCACATGAAAGTCCTCCTCCCCCAACATTGCCTGGCTTTGTTTCAATTTTCCTTCTCAAGGGGCTTGGCTCAAAGCTCGCCTGCACCTCGATACTTGTCGGAATTAGAGTCAGCCCGCATGACTGATAGAAGATGAGAAGAAGGGGAAGATGCCCAGTGCATCTTCTGACATTGGCAGGTCTGCTTCATGTCTTTTCCCTGCTGAGTCAAGCGTTTTCATTTATCAATCCGCCAAGATTTGCTGGAAGGACAGGGGGGCCATAGATGAGGAGGGTGGATGTGGGACGCTTGTCAAAATGCATGTTTTATGTGTTGATATGTGTTGATGTTCTAAGTGAGGTGTTTTTGGATGTTCTACATTTAGAACATCGCTTTCTTGATTTTTGCGATGTTCTAAGTGCGTGTGCCGGCGCATTTGGAAACCGTTTGATGTTCTAAGTGTGTGTCGACATATAAAGTTTGGTTGAACTCGTGCGGATATGCCACGAACAATGCATTGCCATGCATTGCCCATCTGCCTTGATGACTCATCAGCCTCAGATCTTGTCAGGATGCAGCTGAGACAGCTGGGAGCTTGGACGATGGGCGTGGGAGCCACGCCAAAGCATGTGGCCGGAACTTCAGCTGCACTTGGGAAGAAACATGATGCACTCGCGCCGTTGATGGTCTCAGTAGTGAAGAGGAACCCGACCATTTTCAACAGTTTGGTGTTTTGACAAAGGGTGCACAGCTTCCAGCCGTGTACTGCCAACTTGACACATGTATCTCGTCAGAATGTTTTCATTTACCTCTTATCCCATTTGACTCTTTCCTCGCTTTCCGAACAACGACTCCTCTCCGTGAGCCCAGGCCTTGACGACCGCGACGCGGCCTTCATGCAGCGCCTGAGGAACTTGGCGCACGAAGCGTTGAGCTGGCCACATCTGGGGGAGAGGCAACGGCTGGTCTGGGCTGCCGCGCTGGAGCTGAATGCCGTGCCCATGCAGGAGCTGTTAGATCAGCTATGGTGTCGTGATGAGGACATGCAGGTGGAAGACAAAACTATGAGTTCCTGATATGATTCGGCATAATGGGACAGAATCAGTTTTCTGATTTCGGATGTTTCGCTCGAGGGGTTGTTGTGGGGGCAGTTCTGGTTTGATGCAGGAGTTGCCTCCTTGGTTCTGGGAACGCCAAAACATCACACAGCGATATCCAGGCATGGCAAGACCTTGGCAAAGATATCAATGAGAATACCAGGATCCTAAAATGGAGGTACTGTACCATATAAGGCCATATTTTGCTGGGATATTACATAGGCCTTATATAGGCCTTATATATGGTAGGTACCTCCAATTTAGGTTCCTGAAATGGCAATTGAAGATAGGGCCGGGAACATATGGTGGCTCTTTCGGGTGAGATGTAGCAGCTCAGACCTCTTGGCTATCATTGAGTGGGGATGGTAGGCTTGTTTTTCTTCTCTCTGACCGTTTCCTCAACCATTCTACTGAAGCTTTGGACCAATGGACTTTCTCTGTTGACTCCTTCTCTGCTTGGACATGTTCTTTTTCTTGACTGAATCTTTGCATTTCCATCATGATTCTTCATTTTCATTTGCCCGATAGGCCTAACCTTGCTGAGCTTGGACGGTTCGCATGCCGTTGGCTGCTGGAACGCATCCGTTTCCTTCAGGGAGGTGAGGCATTTCCTGCGCATGGCGCGGTGGGTCTACAAGGCCAGGGTGACCGGTGGCCAGTGAAGGGATGTGATGCCAAGAAAGTTTCGCCTGCAGTTCTATCGGGCTTTATGTGTGGCTTCCAGGGTCACTATGGCTTTGGGTTAAATGTGCAGTTTCATTTGAAGTATCTTCATGTTCCTGTTTGCCATGGCACTGACGCTCAATCCAAATGTGGTGATGTGTCTTTCCAGCCCGTGCAGGCCCCAAGATGCACGGTGGTGACCAGCAGCCGCCGGTTACCCGAGAAGGTCAGAGCATGGCTGCGGAACTCCAATGCCGAGCATTGTCTCATCACAAACCGTACGATGAAGAGGCTGGGAGTGGGAAGGACGTTCTGGGAAATTGCGGGGAATTGAATTTCAGATGAACTTTGTGTCGCGTCCACCACTTGGAGCATGAAGCGTGTGGTGGATGTACAGTATCAGTTTTGCCACTTTAAAGACATTAGCGCCCTTTTTGCCCTCGATGCCCTTTGTGCCCATAGATCTTGTTAGGCTGAGTGCTGGACTTCCTTCTCCAGCTGATGGAACTGGTGGCGTGCCGCCCTTGAGACAATGCCAGCGCGACTGCCTGGACGCATGCGCCAAGGGTGCTCGAGTCCTGGAGATGGCGTGTGGCACTGGGAAGACCCGTGTGATCCAGGAGTTGGTGACCAACGTATCCGGAAGAGTGCTTTGGACATTTTTGGACATCTTTGATCATTTTTGATGCAGGTTTTGAATCAGCAATCATTTTCGACTTCCCATCCCGATCCAACAGTTTGCTCCCCCAAACTTATACGCCTCGCCGACCAACTCATGCAGAATAATATTGAATAATCGCATACAATGTTATATAGGTGCGACAGGACAAAATTCTTTTGGCAGAGGGAAGCAACACATGTATTTGCAACTAGATTCAACACATCAATTCTGCATTATTTTGCCAAGAGCGTATGCTAGATACATGAATAATAAGTGCTCCCGCTTGTTTTCCCCGCCATTCCCGTACTTTTCCCAATCTCATACACCTTTTGTTCGCCTCTCTCTCAGGTCTTGATCACGGTGCCTCTACGAGCCTTGCTGGACCAGTTCGCTCCGGACTTCCCCGGCTTCTGCAAAGTGGGCATGGGCCACAACAAGAAGATCGACTTCGATGCCAAAGGTTTCATGGCTGTCACGGATTCGGTCCACCTGCTTAAGAAATTGAAGTTTGACTCCATTTTTGTGGATGAGGCGCACCATCCGTTGCCGCCCAAAATGCCCGGGTCGATGGAGTTGTATCGGTTGTCGGCCACTCATAAGGAAGAGCCGGATTTCCGGTACACCATGGGACAGGCGATTGAAGATGGGATCCTGTGCGATTACGACATCACGGTTCCTGCCCTGACTGCGCACCATGCATACCTATGTTTGGGAGATTTGCTCTTGAAACAAGTTGGGAGGTTCAGGCGGGTGCTGGCCTATTGCAATTCTGTTGCTGAAGCGAAACGCTTCCGGATGGTGTTGAGGGAGCTGGGACTGGCGGCATGGCATATCAATGGCAAGACACCTTCGAATGAACGACAAGCTGTCATTGCAGAGTTCGCCGGGCTCTTGCAAAAACCGGTTCACGTGCTTGTGACTGTAGAAATTTTGGGAGAGGGGATCAACATTCCCAGTGCGGACACCTGCATGTTCGTGGAGCCCCGAAATAGCTACAGGAGCATCATTCAAGCTATTGGGCGTGTGCTGCGCCATCACCCTGCCAAGACTTTGGCGCACATCGTCCTGCCAGCTTTGGCAATCCCAAGCTCAAGATCTGCGTCCGTGTCGCCATCAAGTTTCAGAAATAAACGTGAGGAGCAACCGAACGCAAGGAAGGTTGACAGCCTCAATTGTCAGGGAAGTGAGTTGCCAAGTTTGCAGGTCGAACAGCAGGCGAGAAACCCACACACATTTGGTACGGCTGAAGATGAGGCGGCTACTAGACGGAAGTCACCTGCTGCGATCAACGTGGCTGCCCCTCCTGCGACCACCAGGAGGCAGGGGGACACCTTTCATTCAGCCTTTCATTCAAACGGCCAGCAGGGTGAGAAAGTGCGCAGCGACCACGGGAATTTTGACACAAGCCCCCTAAAGCGAAAGCGAGGCAACAGCAACTATGCCGAACCTGAGACTCGAGTCAGTCCATCAGCTATGACACATCGTCAGCAAGACCGTGTGCAGCAAGACCATCCGCAAACAAAGTGTGGATCTGTCAAAAACGTGCACAGGCACCAGCTGACCCAGACACCTCATGAAGAAGTTGAAAATCAAGACTTGGAAAGACACAAGCCAGGCACACGTGATCCGACCACACCTGGCAGGCCAGAAGTGTTTGAACAATTTGGAAGTGGGATTGAGGCTGAAGAGCCAAATATGCAGAAGAGAGAGGCCAAGATGAGCTCAAAGCTTCACCAAACATTCAAATTGAAAGCGTCCACCGGATCTCCCATGTTCGATCAGCAGTTCAGTAGCCAGCTGGAGCGCTTCTTGGCCATGCTGATGTGGGCAGATCATCGCATTGTCGGTGCAACCGCAGGGCACAGAATCCAGGTAGCAGACTGCACTTTGGAGGATGCTGGCGTAAAGATGGAAGGGTGGACGGCCGAGATTTACACTCGGCTCTCTGTGATTCTATCTGGGGATGACCATTGGGAGATTCGCTTCAGGGAGTTGGAAGCGTTTGTGGACAAGCATGGCAGGCTACCACTCCGCCAGTGCAAGTCTCACTATGAGAGAGCATTGGGCGCATGGCTCAACAGCCAGGGCGCTTCTTTCAGAAAGCAGAGGCTGCTGTTGCAGAGGTTCCAAAAACTACTCTTGGCATCCTCACCTCTGATTCGCCGCCGTGCTAAAGGGTGGCAGATAGGTGACAGTGATGGGCTTTTCCAGGAGACATGCAACCGGCTCAAAGAGTATGTGCAGTTGCACTTGAGAATGCCAGAGACGACAGGTCATGAGGTTGGATCCCCACCGTGGAAACTGGCAAAATGGCTGGCACATTTGCGGGGAGGGAACAGAAGACTAAGTCCTGACAAGATGAAGACGCTGCAACAGGTGCATCCCTTGGTCAAAGCTGAGCTACAGAAGTGGCAGAATGCCCCACGACTCCATCGGTCTCAGTGGGAGCGGAAGTTTGGTCAGCTCTGCTGGTTTGTAGGGGCGACAGGACGCCTCCCAAAAAGCCGTGGACAAAAGGAGCTTGAAATGAGTAGCTACAGCTGGCTTCGGATTCAGTGCCGAAAGCTTCTAATAGGATACCTGCCCGAAGACATGGCGCAGCGGCTTCGGAAAGCTCATCCCCTGATCGCTGCATATCTCGATACATCTAATTACTTAGAGAGTGCCGCAGTGCGCGAAAGAAGGGCTACATGCAGGCTGGTTGCTGCCGAAAGCAGCAGGTGAATCCCCCTGTATAAGATAACAGGGTTTAGAGGTGGCAGCTCGTTCCGTCATGTTTAACAATATTCCCGAGGCTACTCAACAACAATTAGAAACACCCAACCAACAACATGACCTCATCACTGCAGAGGTCTCAGTGCCAGTCTTCTGGGTACTGGGCCCCATATCTTCGATGTTTGAGTCCAGCCTCAATTTTGCTCCAAAGTCCCTTAAAGTCCAACTGTGACCATGTCCCTGGGAGCATAGATTGAACATGATTGAACCCACCTACCAGGATTGCCGATGTCCTTTGTTTCATGCTCCTTTGTTAAAAGCCTCATCCCGGAATGTGTTCCGTAAGCTTCCGAGGTTGCCGTTTGGAGGTGGAGAGACCAGCCGGATGCCAGAGCCTCAGCTGCTCAGAGAGTTCAATTCCAGCGGTATCATGAGGGCGGTGGTGGCAGATGGGGGCAGTGAACTGAAGCCTAAAGGAACGGTTTTTGAATATTCTTTAATGGTGCCGCAACTGGAGGCATTAGTATGCTCTTGTTCAGGACCTTGCATTGGTCAATGTGTCATAGAGAGGTCATTCAGCTTCAATGCACATTCAGTTTGTCACATGGGCATCCTCTTTTGATATCTTTTGCATTATTGTCTCTTTCTCCAGAGTTTTGGCTCAAAGCTCGAGATGGCTCATCATCTGCTATGCCTTTTCGATAGGAATTGGGTTGAGCCCGCATGCTTTGTGTAGACAATGAGAAAAGGGGGAAGACGCTCAGCGCATCTGGCGTTGGCAGGGCTGCTTCTTGTCCCTGCGCTGCTGAGTCAAACGTCGTCATTCATCAATCCGCCGAGATCGGCCAGAAGGACAGGTGGGATGATGAGGGTGGATGGGGGACCTGCTGGCATCACATTTTGGTGTTGCAATGATCATTTATGCATCCTTCATGCTCCACTGATGACTCACTGATGGCTCTGACTGAAGATGTTTCCACAGGACGCAGCTCAGAGCTTGGACCACGGGCATGAGAGCCGCGCCTAAGCATGTGGCCGGAACTCCAGCTGCACTTGGGGAGACGTACGACAAACAAGCCCGTTGATAGTTCCAGTAGTGAAGATCTGACCACCAGGAACAGCGTCTGGCCTTGTCACAGCGTTGCCTTTTGTGATTGAATTGGGTGACGGGTGCATGGTGTACAACATTCCAGCGACAGTAGTTGATCCTGATTTGCTGGATGGACTTCATTCATGTTTTCACATGATTGACCTTCATGAAGCCTTCATCACCCTTATCGCCCCATTTGATTTCCATCATTTCTGCGGACCTTTTCTATACCATTTCGTCTTCTCAGTGAGCTCAGGACTTGATGATCGTGACACGGCCTTCATGCAGCGCCTGCGGAACTTGGCGCACGAGGCGCTGACGTGGCCACACCTCGGGGAGAAGCAACGGTTGGTATGGGTGGCTGCGCTGGAGTTGGACGCCGTGCCCTTTCAGGAGCTGTTGGGCGATTCCAATGATGGTAGGCCTGGTAGATGATGGGTTGAGCGATGGCTTAAGTATATAGATTCCCTCTGTGAGTAATTAGTGGTGTTGTCTATTCTTTCAGATTTGCAGTTCATAGGTGTAGCTATAGTTGGGATGGCAGGAGCTGCCTCCGTGGTTCTGGGAGCGCCAGAACAGCACACGTCGACATTCAGGCCAGGCAAGAGTGGTGCTATACGTGCGTGCTGTTTAAATTGGAGATGAACTATACACTCTCACATGCAGAGCGCTCTATCCATTGAAGACAGTTGTAGGCTGATGTTTGCCCTTTGTCGGATGTTTTTTCTTTCGATTCCATCACTGACCCTGTGCCAACAGGCCTGGACTTGCTGAGTTTGGATGGTTCCCATGCTGTCCGATGCTGGAACGCATCGGTTTCCTTCAAGGAAGTGAGGCGTTTCATGCGCGTGGCACGGTGGGTCTACAAGGCCAGAGAGATTGGGTGGAGCACTGAATGGGCGTGATGCTAAGGGAAGAAATCACCAAGGACACATCTGAAATTCTTTTGGGTGGTGTTAATTGATGCCATCAATTGAAACTCCTGACCCTGTTCATGCTGTGAAGAGCCACCACGAAGCCCGTTTTGATCTCATTGTGCCACCACCTCCGCCCCACCTCCTGCAGGCTCCAAGATGCACAGTGGTGACCAGCAGTCGCCGGTTGCCCACGAAGGTGAAAGCCTGGCTACAGAACTCCGACGCTGAGCATTGGGCCATCACAAACAGTACCATGAAGAGGCTGAGGTCGGGAAGGAAAAACTGCAGACTCGAATGCGGATCAGTTTTGAACAATTTGGTGAGTGCAGATGGTTTCTCCTGGATGAAAAACTGGCTGATACGCAGGTCTAGGTTGAGTGGTAGCCGCTGGTAGCCTTTCCATCTATCCACGCATTCTCCAAAGCACCGGCGCCAGGTTGAGTGCTGCAGCTCCTTCTGCCGTTGCTGAAAATGGCATGCAGCCGCCCTTGAGGCAATGCCAGCGCGACTGCCTGGACGCATGTGCCAAGGGTGCTCGAATCGTTGAGATGGCGTGTGGCACTGGGAAGACCAGGGTGGTCAAAGAGTTGGTTTCGAATGTATCCGGAAGGGTGCCCTTGGCCGTTGATTGAATTCAGTTTCGGTTAATACCAATACCTTGTCACTATTGTTTTTTTTGGCCTACGTGTATTTGATCTGTTTTGACATTGTTGATATGGTGGTCCTTTCCAATTCCTAGTCGTGTCTCGCAATTGCGAGTCGCGAACGATCATTTTCTTTGCTGAGAAACCGTCCTGAAACTATCGAACGAGCCTCAAGAGCAACCCCCAGTGTGCCATTCCAAGCTATCATCCCTAGGTTTTGATTACGGTGCCGCTGCTTGCTCTTCTGGATCAGTTCGCTTCGGACTTCCCTGGCTTCTGCAAAGTGGGCACGGGCCACAACAAGAAGATCGACTTCGATGCCGAGGGGTTCATGGCTGTGACAGATTCGGTCCACTTGCTGAAGAAGTTGAAATTTGATGCCATCTTTGTGGACGAGGGGCATCATCCGTTGCCGCCCCAAATGCCACGGTCGGCCGACTTGTACTGCTTGTCCGCCACTCACAAGGATGAACCGGACTTTCGATACACCATGGGACAGGCAGTTCAAGACGGGGTCTTGTGCGATTACGACATCACGGTGCCTGCCTTGACTGCTCACCATGCATATTTGTGTTTGGGAGACTTGCTTTTGAATCAAGTTGGGAGGTTCAGGCGCGTGCTGGCCTATTGCAATTCGGTTGCTGAAGCAAGACGCTTTCGCATGGTTTTGAAAGAGCTGGGGCTGGCAGCATGGCATATCAATGGAAAGACACCTTTAAAGAAACGAGAAACTGTGATCGAAGAGTTCGCCAGGCCCTTGCTAAAACCGATTCACGTGCTTGTGACTGTTGAAGTTTTGGGAGAAGGGATCAACATTCCCAATGCAGACACCTGCATGTTTGTGGAGCCCCGAAGTAGCTACAGGAGCATCATTCAAGCCATCGGACGCGTGTTGCGCCACCACCCTGCCAAGACTCTGGCACATATTGTGTTGCCAGCAGTGGCGATCCCAAGCTCAAGATCAGCGTCCGTGTCACCATCAAGTTTCGGAAAGAAACCGATCGAAGGTGGGGACCAACTGAATGCAAGGGAGGTTCACAGTCTCAATTGTCAAGGAAGTGAGTTGCCAAGTTGGCAGGTCGAACAGCAGGTGAGAAACCCAGACACATTTGGTACTGATGAAGATGAGGTGGTTTCCGAACCACAGTCACATGCTGGAATCAGCGTGGCTACCCCTCCTGCAACCACCAGGAGGCAGGGGCACACATTTCATTCAGCCATTCATTCAAACGGCCAGCAGGGTGAGAAAGTACGCAGCAACCACAGAAATTTTGACACAAGCCGGCTAAAGCGAAAGCTAGGCAACAGCAACTATGCCGAAGCTGAGACTCGAGTCAGTCCATCAGCTATGACAGATCGTCAGCAAGAACAGTTGCAAACGATTTGGGCATAGGCACCACCAACCGCAGACACCTCAAGAAGAAGTTCAAAATCAATGCTTGGAAAGATTCAGCACGGGCACGCAGGATCAAACTACACCTGGCAGGCCTAGAATCGGAAATGTGCGAAATGAGATGGATGAAGAGCCAACCATGCAGACCCAGGCCACAGTTCCCACAATTCGACACCACAGATTCAAATTGAAAGCTTCCACCCGATCTTCTGAGCTCGATCAGCTTTTCGGTAGCCAACTGGAACGCTTTCTGTCCATGCTGATGCGGGCAGATCATCGCATTGTTGGTGCAACCGCAGGGTACAGAATCCAGGTCGCAGATTGCACTTTGGCGGATGCTGGTGCAAAGATGATGGAAGGGTGGACGACCGAGATTTACAATCGGCTCTCTGCGATTCTATCTTGGGAGGACCATTGGGAGATTCGCTTCAGGGAGTTGGAAGCGTTTGTCGACCAGCATGGCAGGCTACCACTTCGCAAGTGCGAGCCTCACTCTGAAAGAGTATTGGGTACATGGCTCCACAACCAGAACGCTGCTTTGAGAAAGCAAAGGCTACCATTGCATAGGTTTCAGAAACTTCTATCGGCGTCCTCTCCTCTTATCCGCCGCCGTGTTGAAGGGTGGCAGATGGGTGCCGACGGGTTTTTCCTGCGGAGATGCTATGAGCTCGGAGAGTATGTGCAGCTGCGCCACAGGGTGCCAGACTTGGCAAATCATCGGGTTGGGTCCTCACCCTGGAAATTGGCAAAATGGTTGGCGAATTTGCGGGCAGGGAACATCAGACTAGGCGCTGGCAGGATGAAGATGCTGCAAGAGGTGCATCCCTTGGTCAAAGCAGAGCTACAGAAGTGGCAGAATGCCCCACGACTCCTGCAGTCTAAATGGGAGTGGAAGTTTGGTCAGCTCTCCCGGTTCGTTTTGGCAACAGGGCGCCTCCCAAAAAGTGGGAGAAAAAGCAAGGCGGAAAGCGGTTGGTACAGCTGGCTTCGTGCTCAGTGCCGGAAGATCCTAGCAGGATGCCTGCCAGCTGACATGGTGCAGCGGCTTCGGAATGCTCATCCCTTGATTGCTGCATATGTTGATAGAGCTGAATAGAGTCTAGAGACTGAAAAGAGACGCAGAACGTGCGCACCTGCTGCTGTGCAACACGTGAAAGAAGGCTTAGGTATATATAGTCAAAGTGAGCTTGACACCACTGGCTGCTTGCTGCAGCCATTCTGTTCGTTCTCTTGTTGTATCCAATTTGCAGTTGAAGGCATGAGGTGAATAGATGGAAAAGTTTAGCGGTGCCAGCCTGTTCTGCCATGTTCCAACTACATTGTTAAGACTACCCAATAACATCATTCCATTGAGGCCCCAGCGCAGGTGCTGCGCCTAGTGTTTTTGATGTTATCGGATGTTTTAGGCCATTATAGGCCAACCTCTACTTCTTTCCAAAGTCATCCTTTTGCCCTTCAAAGTCCCAGTGTGAGCATGTCATTGAGAGCAGAGATTAAACAGATCTGTTTGGAGTGCCGATTCTTTTTTCGCTGCCCCAGGCTGCCAGTGGGAGGTGGAGAGATTAGCCGGATGTCAGAGCCTCAAGGAACGTGCAGAGGTCCATGTTGATTCCAGTACTATCATGAGGGCCGTGGTGGCAGATGGGGCCAATGAACTGAAGCTTAAAAGAAGCTTTTGTTCAGGACCTTGCGTTGGTCAATATGGCTGAGGGAGGTCATGCAGTTTCAGTTCAACGAACATCCAGTTTGTAACATGGACATCTTCTTCTTTTTCAATATTGCCCTTTTCTCCAAGATTCTTGGCTCAAAGCTCGCGGCGGCTCATCATCCACCGCATTTCTTCGACAGGAATTTGGTTGAGCCCGCATGCTTTGCGTAGACCATGAGAAAGATGGGAAGACACCCCGCGCATCTGGCATTGGCAGGGCTGCTTCTTGTCCCTGCGCTGCTGAGTCAAGCGTCGTCATTCATCAATCCGCCAAGATCGGCCAGAAGGACAGGTGGATTGGGATGATGAGGGCGGATTGGGAATGTCCTAGCAGCTAGCATCACATTTTGGTGCTGCAATGATCATTTGATGCGCCCTTCGTGCTCCACTGATGACTCACTGATGGCTCTGACTGAAGATGTTTCCACAGGACGCAGGTCAGAGCTTGGACCACGGGCATGAGAGCCGCGCCTAAGCATGTGGCCGGAACTTCAGCTGCAGTTGGGGTGAAGAATGACGAACAAGCACCGTTGATAGTTCCAGTAGTGAAGATCTGACCACCGGGAAGAGTGTCGGGCCTTGTCACGACGGGTGCATGGTGTACAACATTCCAGCGACAGCAGTCGATCCTGATTTGTTGGATGGACTTCATTCATGTTTTCACATGATTGACCTTCATCACCCTTATCGGTCAGTACCTCGCTTAGGCCTACGTTTTGGCTCGCTTAGGCCTACGTCACAGATACATGATGAATATGTTTATGTTTGCGATATATATATAATATTATATCAGATTTCTACCCCAGGCCTTGACGATCGCGACACGGCCTTCATGGAGCGCCTACGGAACTTGGCGCACGAGGCGCTGACGTGGCCCCATCTCGGGGAGAAGCAGCAGCTGGTGTGGGCGGCTGCGCTGGAGCTGGAAGCCGTGCCCTTTCAGGAGCAGTTGGGCGATACGCATGTAATCGCATGTATGTCCAGTTCGCACATTGTACATAAGGCCCTCCTTCTGCGAGTAGTGGTGTCTATTCTTTGAGTTTGCAATTCCTGGGTGTAGCTACAGCCGGGTGGGTTGGTAGGAGCTGCCTCCATGGTTCTGAGAGCGCCAGAACAGCACACATCGATTGCAAGGCTGGCTTTTCAAGTGGAAGATTGATAGCCACGACGTCCCACAACTGCTCAGCTAAGATAAGTTGCGGCCAATAGTCGGCTGCCGTTTGCGTAAGTATTGTCTAAGTCTTTCCGTGTTTGCCTGCGCTCCACTTGTCTTATCTGACACTTTCCCACCAGGCCTGGACTTGCTGAGTTTGGACGGTTCCCACGCTGTCTGCTGCCGGAACGCGTCGGTTTCCTTCAAGGAGGTGAGGCGTTTCCTGCGCATGGCACGGTGGGTCTACAAGGCCAGAGACGTCGGGGTGAGCACTGAAGGGGCGTGATGCTGAGTGAAGGGAAGAAATCACCAAGGACACATCTGAATTTCTTTTAGTGGTGTTAATTGATGCCGTCAATTGAAGCTCCTCACCCTGTTCATGCTGTGAAGAGCCACCGCTAAGCCCGTTTTGATCTCATGTGCCACCACCTCCTGCAGGCTTCAAGATGCACAGTGGTGACCAGCAGTCGCCGGTTGCCCAAGACGGTGAAAACCTGGCTGCAGAACTCCGACGCTGAGCATCGGGTCATCACAAACCGTACCATCACGAGGCTGAGATTGGGAGAAAAAAGACCTGCAGATTCGAATGCAGATCAGTGTTTGTGGGTGCAAATGATTTTTTCCGGGATGAAAAACCAAGGCACCTGTGTGGTACGCAGGTCTAGGTGTTTGGTGCAGCATTTTGGACCAGCGGTAGCCTTTCCATCTATCCCTTGTCCTCCATGCATCCCCCAAAGCACCGGCGCCAGGTTGAGTGCTGCAGCAGCTCCTTCTCCCATTGCTGAAAATGATGGCATGCAGCCGCCTTTGAGGCAATGCCAGCGCGACTGCCTGGACTCATGCGCCAAGGGTGCTCGAGTCATCGAGATGGCCTGTGGCACTGGAAAGACCCGAGTGATCCACGAGTTAGTGTCAAATGTATCAGGAAGGGTGCCCTGGGCCTTTGATTCAGCTCGGACAATACTTTGCTTTGGTTGAAGTGTTTAGTTTAGCTCTTGATCATAGGTGTCTCGCCATAAATGAAGATCATATATACCGTACCATGTTTGGATTCAACAAGCCTAACAGGCCCAACATTGAGGGTGAGAATATGTGAGAATCAAGAGTGGTAAGGGGCCGCTATTCTCGGAATATTCAATGATGCCATTCTCAGGTGTTGATCACGGTTCCCTTGCGAGCCCTGCTGGACCAGTTCGCTCCCGACTTCCCCAGCTTCTGCAAAGTGGGCACTGGCCACAACAAGAAGATCGACTTCGATGCCAAAGGTTTCATTGCTGTGACAGATTCGGTCCACTTGCTGAAGAAGTTGAAATTTGATTCCATTTTTGTGGATGAAGCGCATCATCCGCTGCCGCCCAAGATGCCAGAACCGACCGAGTTGTATCGGTTTTCGGCCACTCACAAGGATGAACCGGATTTCCGATACACCATGGGACAGGCGATTGAAGATGGGGTCCTGTGCGATTACGACATCACGGTGCCTGCCCTGACTGCGCACCATGCATATGTGTGTTTGGCAGATTTGCTTTTGAAACAAGCTGGGAGGTTCAGGCGAGTGCTTGCGTACTGCAACTCAATTACTGAGGCCAAACGTTTTCGCATGGTGTTGAGGGAGCTGGGACTGGCAGCATGGCATATCAATGGCAAGACACCTTCGAAAAAACGAGAAACTGCGATTGCAGAGTTTGCGGGGCCCCTGACGAAACTGGTTCACGTGCTTGTCACCGTTGAAGTCTTGGGAGAAGGGATCAACATTCCCAACGCGGACACCTGCATGTTTGTGGAAGCCGAAATAGCTACAGGAGCATCATTCAAGCCAACGGGCGCGTGATGCGCCACCACCCTGCCAAGACTCTGGCACACATCGTCCTGCCAGCTGTGGCAATCCCAAGCTCAAGATCTGCGTCCATACCACAGACTGGTTCCAGGAAAGAGATCAAGGGCGAGGAGCAAACCAATGTCGGGGAGGCCGGCAGCCTTCAAATCTCCAAACCGCAAAAGCAAAGCCGAACTCCTCCGGAAGGTGACTGTGAGCTGCCAACTGTCCAGGTTGAACCAGACCAGCAAGCGAGAATCCCACAAACATTTGGTATTGATAAAGATGAGGTGGTTTTCAAACCGAAGTCACTTGCTGCAATCAGCGTGGCTGCCCCTCCTGCAGTCACTAGGAGGCAAGTGGACACATTCCATGCAGCCATTCATTCAAATGGCCAGCAGAATGACAAACTGCGCAGCATCCTCAACGGGGATGTTGATGCAAACCGAGACACAGACAGCAGCAACGCCACTATGATGAACGTTTTACCCAAATCAGTCCAGCAGCTACGACGAATCATCAGCAAGAGGGTGTGCAGCAAAAACACCTGCAGACAATGTGTGGATTTATGAAAAGCGCGAATGGGCACCGGCCGACCCAAAAAGTCTCAAGAAAAAGTTCAAACGGAACACTTGGAACGAGTCAAACAGGGTATTAATCCGACTACAGCTGGTTGGCCTGGAATGATTGGATATTTGCCAGACCAGACCAATGGAGAGCCAAACGTACAGAAGACCATGATTTGCTCAAAGCAACGCCAAGGATTCAAATTGAAAGCATCGGGCGGATCTCACATGTTCGATCAGCAGTTCCAGAACCAACTGGAGCGCTACGATCAAAAAGTCCGCATCTACGATGCTTCGAAGGACGGCGGAAAGGGCCGAGGCTCAGGGCACACGGAGAAGGTCCACCCTGCATGCAGAGATTTGGCAGTTTAGACTTTAGATGACGAACCTGAGGCGTTTCATACATAAGCCAGACCATGTCATAAGATTCATAAGAGGTCGCCTGGAATGGCATGTGGATTTAAACTTGTAAATGGTATCAAATGAGTGTCACTTCCGTTCAAAACTCCTTGCGAGCCAACTTGACGAACGAGTCACAAACGATTCTGAATGAAAACAATGTACTCGAAACATTTCCGGGATGTTTGCGTCCATGGCACATATACTGGATGCTGATGATGGCAGATCATCGCCTAGTTGGGGCAACCGCAGGGCACAGGATTCAGGTCGCAGACTGCACTTTGGCGGATGCTGGTGCAAGCAGGATGGAAGGGTGGACGACTGAGATCTACAATCGGCCCTCTGTAATCCTATCTTCTCAGGACCGCTGGGAGATTCGCTTAAGAGAGTTGGAGATGTTTGTCAACAAGCATGGCAGGCCGCCACGTGAAAGGGGATTGAGCACATGGCTTGATGCCCAGGACGCTGCTTTGAGAGGTCAGAGACTTCCAATGCACAGGTTTCAAAAGCTGCTGGAATCCTCAACTCCCATTCGTTGCCGTGTTGAAGGGTGGCAGACGGTTGACGCCGGGGTGCGCTTCAGGCAGAAATGCAATGAGCTTGGAGAGTATGTGCAGCTGCACCGCAGGTTGCCAGACTTGGAAAGGCGTCAGGTTGGGTCCTCATCCTGGAAACTGGCAAAATGGTTGGCACATGTGCGGGGAGGGAACATCAGACTAGACGCTAACAAGATGAAGTTGCTGCAAGAGGTGCATCCCTTGGTCAAAGCTGAGCTACAGAAGTGGCAGGATGCCCCGCGATTCCAGCAGTCTAAGTGGGAGCAGAGGTTTGGTCAGCTCTGTGGGTTTGTGTTGGCCTCAGGACGCATCCCAAAAGGCGGTGGAGAAACGAAGTTTGAAAGAAGCTGCTACGACTGGCTTGGGATTCAGAGCCGGAAGCTATCAGCAGGATGCCTGCCAGATGAAATGACCAAGCGACTTCGAAATGCGCATCCTTTGATTGCAGCATATATTGATGCGTTTGCTTAAAAGATTGGGAGCGCTGCGTGTCAGCACGAAAAAACAGACCAAAAGTCAGCTTGACACATATAGGCCGCAGCCATTCTGTTCCCTTGTCGTGTCTGGCTTGCAGTCCGAAGCATCGGGTGAATTTCCTGCTGATCAGACAAGAGAGTTTAGTGGTGCCAGTCTGTTCTGCCATGTTGAAACAAAACTCCAAAGACTACCGCACAACAACATTCCATTGAGGCCCCAGTGCAGGTTCTGCATGTACTGTTTTTTGATGTTTGAGGCCAACCCCAACGTTTTTCCAAAGTCATCCTTTTCGCCATTCAAAGTTCCAGTATGTCATTGCGGAGAAGATATTAAATCCACTTGCCAGAGCAGTCGGTGTCTGTTGTTTCACCTCTGAGGCCGCCAATTGGAGGCGGAGAGACCAGCCGGATGCCAGAGCCTCAGCAAACTTGCAGGTGTGGAAAGGGTTGGATGGATCCCGCACCAGCTTTCCACGTTGAACGTGGATAAGGCCAACACAGCTTGCGATTATTTTCAAAACTTATAAGTCAGAGATTGCATATCCAGTGGTATCATGAGAGCGGTGGTGGCAAATCGGGCCAGTGAACTGAAGCCTAAAAGAATCAGTTTTGAGCAGTCGATGCTATTGGGAGCTTCAGTACGGTCCTGTTCGGGACCTTGCGTTGGTCAATGTGGTAGAGAGAGGTCATGCAGCTTCAATTCAACGAACATCCAGTTTGTAACATGGACATCCTCTTCTTTTTCAAAATTGCCCTCTTTCTTCAAGAGTCTTGGCTCAAAGCTCGCGGCGGCTCATCATCCACCGCATTTCTTCGACAGGAATTGGGTTGAGCCCGCATGCTTTGCGTAGACAATGAGAAAGGGGGGAAGACGCTCAGCGCATCTGGCGTTGGCAGGGCTGCTTCTTGTCCCTGCGCTGCTGAGTCAAGCGTCGTCATTCATCAGTCTGCCAAGATCGGCCAGAAGGACAGGTGGATTGGGATGAGGGTGGATTGGGGATGTGCTAGCAGCTAGCATCACATTTTGTGATCATTTGATGCGCCCTTCGTGCTCCACTGACTCACTGATGGATCTGACCGAAGATGTTTCCACAGGACGCAGCTCAGAGCTTGGACAATGGGCATGAGAGCCTTGCCGAAGCACGCAGCTGGAACTCCAGCTGCAGTTGGGGTGAAGAATGACGAACAAGCGCCGTTGATAGTTCGTTGATAGTTCCAGTGGTGAAGATCTGACCACCGGGAGCAGTGTCGGGCCTTGCCACAGCGTTGCCTTTTGTGATTTGAATTGGGTGACAGGTGCATGGTGTACAGCATTCCAGGGACAGTAGTTGATCCTGATTTGCTAGATGGACTTCATTCATGTTTTCACATGATGGACCTTCATGAAGCCTTCATCGATTCATCACCCTTACCGCCCCATTTGATTTCCATTATTTCTACGGACCTTTTCTAGGCCATTTCCTCTTCTCAGTGAGCCCAGGCCTTGACGAGCGCGACGTGGCCTTCATGCAGCGCCTGCGGAACTTGGCGCACGAGGCGTTGACGTGGCCGCATCTGGGGGAGAGGCAGCGGCTGGTGTGGGCTGCGGCGCTGGAGCTGGAAGCCGTGCCCTTTCAGGAGCAGTTGGGCGCTTCCAATGATGGTAGATGATGGAGTGATGGCTTAAGGTCCCTTCTGCAAAAAGTGGCGTCTATTCTTTCAGATTTGCAATTCATAGGTCTAGCTACAGCCGGGTGAGATGGCAGGAGCTGCCTCCGTGGTTCTGGGAGCGCCAGAACAGCACACGTCGATTGCAAGGCTGGCTTTTCAAGTGGAAGATTGATAGCCACGACATCCCACAACTGCTCAGCTGAGATAAGTTGTGGCCAATAATCGGCTGCCGTTTGCGTAAGTATCGTCTAAGTCTTTCCGTGTTTGCCTGCGCTCCACTTGTCTTATCTGACACTTTCCCACCAGGCCTGGACTTGCTGAGTTTGGACGGTTCCCACGCTGTCTGCTGCCGGAACGCGTCGGTTTCCTTCAAGGAGGTGAGGCGTTTCCTGCGCATGGCACGGTGGGTCTACAAGGCCAGAGACATTGGGGTGAGCACTGAAGGGGCGTGATACTAAGTGAAGGGAAGAAATCACCAAGGACACATCTGAAATTCTTTTGGGTGGCGTTAATTGATGCCGTCAATTGAAACTCCTGACCCTGTTCATGCTGTGAAGAGCCACCACCAAGCCCGTTTGGATCTCATTGTGCCACCACCTTCTGCAGGCTCCAAGATGCACAGTGGTGACCCGCAGTCGCCGGTTGCCCAAGAAGGTGAAAGCCTGGCTGCAGAACTCCGACGCCGAGCATCGGGTCATGACAAACCGTACCAAGAGGCTGAGATTGGGAGGGAAGAGCTGCAGGGGACTCGAATGCGGATCAGTTTTGAACAATTTGGTGAGTGCAGATGGTTTCTCCTGGATGAAAAATCAAGGAACCTGGGTGTGGGTGATACGCAGGTCTTGGTTTGGTGCAGCATTTTGGACCAGTGGTGGCCTTTCCCTCTATCCCTTGTCCTCCATGCATTCCACAGCACCGGCGCCAGGTTGAGTGCTGCAGCTCCTGCTGCCGTTGCTGAAAATGATGGCATGCAGCCACCCTTGAGGCAATGCCAGCGCAACTGCTTGGAGGCATGCGCCAAGGGTGCTCGAATCATCGAGATGGCCTGCGGTACTGGCAAGACCCGAGTGATCCAGGAGTTGGTGTCGAATGTCTCCGGAAGGGTGCCCTTGGCCGTTGATTCAATACTGATTTATTTCAGTTTCGGTTAACACCAATACCTTGTCATTGTTGTTTTTTGCCTATATTTGATCTGTTTTGACATTGTTGATATGGTTGTTATTTGCCATTCCGGGTATTGCGAGTCGGAGTCGCGGACGATCATTTTCTTTACTATCTTTACTATCCCCGTGGCAATTTCCACTCTAGAACTGGGTGACTTGTGCATAGTTTAAACGAAATTCTTAATGTATTGGAACTTAAAAATTCAAGTCAGGCTAGTCATTTTATTGTTGGGGGGTTGGGCTGAGCATTTTATTGGCAAGGGAAATCCTAATGATTTTTAAAATGTGAAAATTCCATTTTCATTTTGTTGAAAAAAATGTCTGTTTGGAACATTTTATTGCAGAATGGAACCAGTGCTTTTCCAGGATCTTTTTATATCGATTTTATTGGGCATGTCATTTTAGATCAGCGAATTTTAAGGAATTTGAAGGAATTCTAAGGAATTTTGAGGAATGTCAAGGAATTTTAAAGGAATTATAAGGAAATTTAAGGAATTGAGAGAGTCTTAAGGAAATTTAAGGAATCTTAGAGGAATTTTAAGGAATGTTAAAGGAATTTGAAGGAAGTTTAAGGAATTTAAAGGATTTTGACGGAATTTGAAGGAATTTTGAGGATTTTTAAGGATCTTTAATGTTTTTAAAGGATATTTAAGGAATTTTAAGTTTTTTTTAAAAGAAAATTAAGGAATTTAAAGGATTTTTAAGGAATTTTAAGGAATTGCCACGAAAGAATGCCACCGTATTTTGTTGCTATAGAATGCTATAAAAAAAGAAAAGCACTATATAAATATTTGGGCACCTTCACTCTAAAATACCCCTATCTAAAAATAATTTTCTGACCCCTTTTTAAAGAGGCGTTTCTGAGGGTCTTCGAAATTGGATGAAGTTGGATGCACATTCGGGCATGAATTTGCTGGCAAGGCATGAAATTGCAGAACCAGTTTTCATTGTTTTTGTGCATTTTAAAGCTTGAGGCCCTATGCACAAAAGTTAGACCGCTCTAAAACTCCTGCACAGTATCACATAATGAAATGGAACCCCGATTCTTTACTGACAAACAGTCCTGAAACTGGCGAACGAGTCGCAAGAGGAACTCTCGGAGTGCCATTCCGTGCCATTCTCAGGTTTTGGTTGCGGTGCCTCTACGAGCCTTGCTGGACCAGTTCACTTGGGACTTCCGCGGCTTCTGCAAAGTGGGTATGGGCCACAACAAGAAGATCGACTTCGATGCCAAGGGGTTCCTAGCTGTGACGGATTCGGTCCACTTGCTGAAAAAGCTGAAGTTTGACTCCATTTTTGTGGACGAGGGGCACCATCCGTTGCCGCCCAAATTGCCACGGTCGACCGAGTTGTATCGGTTGTCAGCCACTCACAAGGACGAGCCGGATTTCCGGTACACCATGGGACAGGCGATTGAAGATGGGGTCTTGTGTGATTACGACATCACCGTGCCTGCCTTGACTGCTCACCATGCGTACGTGTGCTTGACAGATTTGCTTCTGAAACAAGCTGGGAGGTTCAGGCGAGTGCTTGCGTACTGCAACTCAATTGCTGAGGCCAAACGTTTTCGCATGGTGTTGAGGGAGCTGGGGCTGGCAGCATGGCATATCAATGGCACGACACCTTTGAAAAAAAGGCAAACTGCGATTGCAGAGTTTGCCGGGCCCCTGCAGAAACCAGTTCATGTGCTGGTCACTGTTGAAGTTTTGGGAGAAGGGATCAACATTCCCAATGCGGACACCTGCATGTTCGTGGAGCCACGGAATAGCTACAGGAGCATCATTCAAGCCATCGGGCGGGTGCTGCGCCACCACCCTGCCAAGACTTTGTCGCACATCGTCCTGCCAGCTGTGGCAATCCCGAGCTCAAGATCTGCGTCCATACCACAAACAGGTTCCGGGAATAAAGAGATCAAAGGTGAGGAGCAACTGAATGCAAGGGATGCTGACAGCCTTCAAATTCCCAATCGCAATCCTCAAGTGCATAGCCGAGCTGGGGGAAGTGACAGTGAGCTGCCAACGACTGAACAACACCAGCAGGCGAGAAAACTACGCGAAACGAGAACTGCGGAAGATGTGGGTTCCAGACTGCAGTCGCATGCTGCAATCAGCATGGCTTCCCCTCTTGCAGACACCAGGAGGCAGGCAAAGACATTTCATCCAGCCTTTCATTCAAACAGCCAGCAGATTGACAAAGTGCACGGCAACTGGAACGAGAATTTCGACGCAAGCCTGCTGAAGCGAAAGCGAGGCAGCAGCAACTATGATGAATTTGAGACTCAAGTCAGTCCATCAGGTATGACAGATCGCCAGCAAGACCGTGTGCAGCCAGAACATCTGGAAATGAAGTGTGGATCTATGAAAAAGACGCATAGGCACCAGCTGGCCCAGACACCTCAAAAAGAACTTCAAAATCCAAACTTGGAAAGATTCCACGCAAATACTTGTGATCCGACTGCAGCTGGCAGGCCAGGAGGGGTTGGAAGTGGGATTGAGTATGACGAGCCAAGCATGCAGAAGACCCAGGCCACGATGGGCTCAAAGATACACCAAACATTCACAGCGAGAGGGTCTGGCAGATCTTCCATGTTCGATCAGCAGTT